TGAGAACGTCTGCTTCTCCTGTGTTAATATTGACACAGGAAACTACCTGCAGCCAAGATACGGTACATGCCTGCTATGGTTTAATCTACCCCGGACTGAGCCTGTAATCTCCCGAGTCCTGGGCACACAGCACTCTCATGATCGCCCCGTGTCTTTGCTGTACATAAAGTTTTCCTTGTTGAAGGGACCAGTGATTGAGCGTTACTTTCAAAGACAGCACAAGGTTATAGAATGCTAAGAACAAATCAGTTTCTGTTACGGTAAATCTATTATTTAAAATGTATTTTTTGGTACTTGTAAAGATTTGCATGAATAAATTCCTGACGTCACAATATTCCTGACGTGTTACCTCTCATCGTTAACAAGCTGTGCTTATGCTCAGTCCAGTGACTTTGCCTAGCCTGAGATGATTTAATCAGTCTGCTGCATGCAGGAGGAAGTATTTCCTCAGTCTCCTCTCCACTAGTGCAGTGATCAGCCTGCAACATTATAACAAGTCATAAGCTGAGAGGCTGCAGCAGGGGCTGATCTGTCTTAAAGGAGAGCTATGGGGTTAAGGCTTTTCCCCATAGTTCTCCTTAGGGTAACGGGAGGACACAAACTAGCGTCCTCCCGTCACCCTAGGCTCAGTATACCGTAAGCTGTAGCTCGCTGTATATTGAGACGCCGCAGCTGAAGCGGATCCCGACAATTATGCCGGGATCCGCCCAGCTGCGTGACTGACAGCTGGCTCTGCCTATCTAGATGCAGAGCCAGCTGTACCCGCCCCCTCCCCCGTCCGTTCCGCCAGTCAGCGCTGGGAATCCAGCCCCTCCCCTGTCAGGGCAGAGAGCCGTGACAGGATTGAGAGGTGAGCGAACGCCAGTATGTGTTCGCTCACCTCCCGATCTACTGAGCCGACCTGTGACAGTCTCATTGTCACAGGTCGACTAGAACTATGAGGTAAGTGAAAAGCACTCACCTCATAGTTCTCCTTTAAGGCCGTGACGCACTGCACGCAAAGCCGCGCAGAGCGAAGCAAAGCTGTCCGGCACGGAGCTTTGCATGCAGTGTGTGAACTGAGTGCACGCACATGATTGACTACACCTTCAGCCAATCGGGACCTGCGTAACAACCAACCAGACGTCGCATTGCGATGCGCCGGTTTATACGTGCAAGCCGATTGGCTGAAGATGACATTTTTCATCTTGGCACGCTCAGCTACGCGAGCTCTCGCAAGCTGAGGTGCCGAGAAAATTACATGACACACTGCTCGTGAAGGCAGCGCGCCACCGCTCCGCGCTGCTTTGCGTGCAGTGTATCACAGCCTTTAGACAATTTTGACCACAGCCAAGGACTGCACAATATTTACATGACTGTGCCATCTCTGAACCAACATCACAGTCCAGGACCTAGATGGTTCCGTCCTTCTGGAGAGAAAAGTAGATGAAGGCATTGTGAGAAGGAGATACTGTGATCTCTGAGAGGTTATAACTACCTGGAAGTGTTACACTGACACATTATGTAGCATGCATGCACTTGTCTTGAAATATATCTGATATTAGGTCCACTTTAACCTTCGAAAACAATTCATAGATATTCCCCCCTATAGGTTATTCAGGTGTCATGACTTTCTTAATTTGCTAATTTAACTCTGCGTACAATTTTCTCAAAGACCGCTGTAATGTAAAGGTGGCCATACACTGTACAACCATCGCAAGACCTTAGTCTTGCGATGGTTGTAAAGGGATTAAAAAAACGTACGATCTGCCTATCTTGGACAGGCAGATCGCACTCTCGATCATCGCAAGCCTGCCCCCCTGAGGGGCGGGCTTCCGATGACCGCAATGCTGAACGTGCAGTGTGCGCGTGCGCACACCGGCCCGTTCAGCATTTATCTTCTGAGCACCATTCTAACCAGCCGAGAATCGTACGATTCCCGGCTGGTTTTCGAACATGCTGGTTCGACGGAAGACGTGCGACCGTACAGTAGAAACGGTCGCACGTCTCCGTTCACACTGCTCAATTCTCGTACGATCGCGGGATTTCCCGCGGTTCTCGTACGAGAATCGAGCAGTGTATGGGCACCTTAACACAGGTTGGGCTTAACAAAAGAAAACTTGTCTTTTTTGGATGCTCTACTTGTGCAGCACCCCTGATTGGTTCATTGTGCTGCTTCGACCTCTCTCAGTCTGACCTCTACTGTACAGGGGTCTGCAACAGGCTGCTAGGAAGTCAGATTCAGATACTTCCACTGCTTGTATTAAAATATACATGTCATGATGTATTAATGATGACAGAGCTGAAATTAATCTGGCTCCTTTGTATCTGCCCGGAGTTCAGCTTTAATGTTTTGCATGTTGAACCGTTTCTGCTGCCCAACTCCAGTGACTTTGTTTACCATCAGCTCTCTGTCCCTCCAGCCAGTGACCCTCATTTGCTACCAGCTGGCCAGGTTTTGTGAGTACCCCGGACCTGTGTGTTGCCTATCCGCTTTGCACTTGCAAAATATCTGATTCTAGAAACAAGGCCGGGAGGTGTTCCTGCTGTTCTGGGTGGCCCTAGCTCACTTTCAACTAAGGGCCCTGTGACTGCTTGATGGTGCGGACGTCTTAGGAGTCATGCTGGCCCCTGCTCTTAAAGTCTTTCCACTCTTTGGAACCTTCTCAGCTCTGTAGGGTGAAATTGGGTCCTATGCCCTCTAAGTGGAGGTTTTACTATAGTCACACAGAACTTTATGTCCCAAATTACCCAGTTATTTGGGGACTCTGATTGCAGAGGCTGTAAACATACTCTCATGTAGATTCTGTATCTGATTTGCCTACGCCCTGAGCAGTTTCTGAGCCATCTTCTGCAGAGTCTCTGATTATGAGTCACTCAAATCTTTTGGATGAGCTTACCCCCTAAGCAAGAATAGTCTGCTGCTATTACTCCTGAGTTGAAGGCTCCTATTGAGCACCACTATGAAAGTAGAGGATCAACCTGTTTCTTCTATCAGTTCTGTTTCCAGCCTTGGGTCGTATATGATCCCGTTCCTTTGCACCCACTTTTCCAACTGATTATATAAAAAGATTGGAAATGTCCTAATAGGCGGGTTGCCCCCTTCCCCATGGACTAACCTGTTGGAGGACCATCCAATCCACATTTTAGTTAGACGACACCCCAAGGGTGGCATATATCAACCATCAAGGGAGAAACAGAGTTCTCGCTGCTACAAGAGAGGTAGAGAGAATCCTGTCCTGGGCAGAACTTTATGTTCCAACCTTGTCAGCTGTGTACATCCCAGACATGAACAATTTGCAGACTTCCTCGGTCGGCAGCATTTGGAGTGGGGAAAATGGTCTCTACACCCGGAGGTGTTCAGGACCTGTGTCATAAGAGGGGAATGCTGAATGTGGTCCACCTGACCTCTAGGTTCAATAATAAGCTGGACAAGTTTGTATTCAGGTGCCGGGATCCAATGGCGGAAACAATGGATGCTCTGGGTGCTCCGTGGGTTCAGTACACCTTGATCTATGCCTTTCCTTCTTTGAAACTTCTTCCTTGCCTGCTCTACAGGACTGAGCATTGCAGTGATCCTCAATTCTCCATATTGGCCCAGGCAGATGTGGTACACCAACCCAGTAGGACTCCCAGAAAATGCACCGTGGGCTATGCTAGACCATCTGTATCTACTGTCCCAGGGACCAATTTACCAACATGCTTCTTGGTCACTGGCTTTATTGGCATGGCTTTTGAAGCCCAGGTTCTAAGTGACTTGAAGTCTGTGATTTCTGCAATGCTTAAGACTAGAAACATCCTCTCCTTCCTGCAGTTGGGCCTGCACCAGAGTTTGACTCTCATAACCATTTAAGGTCAAGTCTCTGCACTTTCTATTCTGTTTAGGAGACTGTTGGCCTCTCACTCCTTTATTAAGACCTTTGTGCATGGGGGTCTCCCTTTGACCGTGAGGGATCTGAATCTATTTCTCCCTGCACTTTAGAAGCTACAATTTGGGCCCACTAGAGACATTCCTTTCTCTTCTCTTACCCACAAGGTTGCTTTCCTTGTAACCATCAGCTCTTGCAAGGAACCCTATTTGGTCTTGCAAAAGGACAAAGTTGTGTTAAGGGCCCCGGGCTTCCTATGCCTAAGGTAGTATCTCCCTCTCCCTAACCAGGAGTATGTTCTTCCAGCCTTTTGTCCGGCTCCAGTTCATCAGAAGGAAATTTCCATTGTCTGGATGTGGTTTGGGCTGTGAGTTTACCTCTCAGACACTGCTTCTTTCAGGAAGACTCGTTCCCTTTTTGTCATTCTGGATGGACCATGGAAGGGTACTCATGGCTTCTCGTTCCACCATCTCTAGGTGGCTGAGACAGACCATCGTTCACTGTTATGCGCTTAAGGATCAGGTTCCATCCTTTCTTGTTAAGGTGCACACTACTACTATGTTTGTGAGCGTTTCTGGGCTTTTCGGCATCAGGCCACGATTTCCCAGATTTGAAAGGCTACCATGTGGCCTTCTGTTAACAGGTGGACGTTCTTGTCTTGTGGCATAAAGTTCCTTCAGGTGCTCTTTGAGCTGCAGGCAGTCCCCAGTTTTCTGTTCTTACTTTGAGCCTTTTAGCAATTGTTGTGTGATGCCCACCCATCAGTTGGACTTTTAAAAATTCCTGTGTCCCTTAATGGACCAGAAGGAATAGAATAAGATTTTGTGTGCATTCCGTAAAGTCGTTTTCTTCAATCCATTGAGGGACACAGGTCACACACTCTGCTACAAAACTAAGGCATGCTGGTAGTATGGGGTTATCGTGGTCTGGCCTACACTTTTTTTTTCTGTATGCCAGTGTCTCATCCACCTGCAGGCAGCCGTATAACCTGAAGGTTAAAAACTTACTGTGACCCCAAATGGACTCCAGAATAAAGATATTGCTGCGAGTATAAAAATCCTATTTTTCACACACAAAAAAAGAAACACTTTTTTTTTTTTTGGAAAAAAAGGGTACCACAAAACAACTTTAATATATTTTAAAGACGGGAATATGAGTTTGTTGTTATCGACAAAAAACTGATATCTTATTCTTCTCGTTGTATTAAAATAATATGCTAGAAGTCTGCACATTTACAGGTGATAGAAAGAGGCCGAAATAGTCAAAATTGATCCATGATCTGTAAAATGACTGAATTCATTGCTGTGTGCCAGAAACAAAGTTCATCACTGTCTTCCAGCCTTTCCGTTTTCAACAGGATCATTTCTGCAGGGAAATAGAGAAAATGTACACGTCTAAGTGCATGTCTGGTCAACATTTAAAAAAAGAATCAGTACATCTCTGCAATACATACACATCTCCATGTTTTTGTTTGTTTAAAAATGCTGCGATTACATAAAAATACCTGTTAATCCGACAGAAATCCAGTAAGCTGCTAACTTCCTGTATTAACTGGCAATGCTGCCTCTTGCTGCACCAAAAACCCAAGCAGTGTTGTCAGCCCTGCTCAGCTGACCTCTGTGAACCACAGAACGCCTTCCCCCAAGTTATGGAGATGAAGAGGGACAGGTGTTCTGTAGTCCAAACACACTTCCTATTCTAGGGTGACAACCCTGGTTCTTCACAAATAAAGTATGATGAGTGAGGGTTATCCCAGCAGCTTCCTCTTCCTTCACATGAGCTGAACACCAGAGGTTGTTGTCACCATAGGGAAAGCTTCCCTGAGAAAATGTCATGCAGCCATCGCTAGAGTGCATATAGACAGAAAGTAGCTGTAAAAAGGCCGTAGGAGATGGGCAGCATTCAGATGCAGGAAAGGAGAAAAGGGAAATTTGAAAACAGTTTTTTTTGTTTTTTTGAAATGCCAAGTGTTTATAATACACAGTACTTTAGCAAGCCAGGTTGGTATCTATTTCAAAGTGAACCTTTCTATTACACATGCATGTGAACATAACAGTCCCTTCATAATCAGCACCAATAACTATTGTAATCATGCATTTGCAGCCTAGGTAGACTAGGGCTGGACAGTGCTGGTACAGGCATGCAAATCCAGACTTTTTTTTCTTCTTTCTCTTGATCTCTACCTCCTCCCACTGACCGGTGACATCCGCAGAGACGTGACACAGAGGTGTTTGACAAATTGCCTTCATCTTTCATGCAGCACATCCCTGTCTGGCAGGGCAGGACCTGATTTTCCTCTGCCACAGTTTAATAATACTTACGGGTTTAGTTCTACCCCCAGTCTGTGATTGGACAGTGAAAGGAGAAGCATTAGACTGATGAGCACTACTCTCGGCCACACTGCTCTCTCCTCCTATTAGCAAGTATCTTGCCCTGCAGCACAGCTGATTGGCTACTTGTGCTGCATCTTCCTCTCCAACTCTAAACTCTCCAGAACTGAAGGACCGATTACAAATTCAGGTTGTTGAACTTCTTGCATTAAAAAATATATTTAATAATGTATTAATAAATACAAAGCTGCATTTTTTTGTGTTTTTTATCTACCTGAAGTTCAGCTCTAAATATTGTGTTTAACACTGACCATACTGCATAGGGGTGACACAGTGTCAGATGATGTAGGTGCCTACTAGGGGAGGAAGATGTGGGGCAGGATCAGATTGGTCTTCCTCTCTCTGCAGACAACCACACCTCCTGACTGGTTCTCTTTAAACAATATTCTTCTTCCCTGCAGCTCTCACCCATTCTCTTCCTTGAGGTGCTGGTACAGTTCAGCCTTGTTGTTGACGGAGTTCTGACGTCCATGAAACTCCTGATGTTTCCTGGAATTGGCGGCATTAATTCTCGAACTCCACAGAGACAGCAGAGACATGGGGCCTGCAGACACCAGGAGAAATAAAAAGGAACATGGGTCCATGTATCAAACATCTATGCTGAAAATGAAATGTTACTTAGGTCATTACTCTCTATCACCATAGCTTACAAAATCATTGCTTTTTCCCCCCCAAAAAATAATGACCCTTTCAGGACCAGAGGTCACCGAGGCCTAGATGCCCCGTGTTAAATTTTGCAGCATCAACATATGTCAGGTACCTTGGCTATAACACTATAAAAGGTGAAGAGTTTGGAGAAGGCAGGAGAAGTGAACAATCTAGGAGTTTGTCTTTTGTTTATTATAATGTGGGAGAAGTGTATATAGCTTCTCTCTATCTCTGCAGCTATCAATAGGGTGTTATTGAGGATTTTGGGGTAGAGCACTATAGCGCGTATAATCATTTGTTTTGCTGTTCACTTCACTTGTTGTAGGCTGACAAATGATGTACAAAAAGTTTCCTATACATTTATATTTGAGTACTGTCTTTGTAATTGACAATTACAGTAATAAACAGATGGACACTGCCTCCTTTGGGCTGCGGTGGCATCTGCTGTACCATATTCAGCCTCCAGTCTGCACATGGTCACTAGGCCAAGGCTGACAGTGGTCACATGATTGGGAAACACTCTGATTGGTCCCCAATCATCAGTGTATCAGAACTATTAGTGACAGCCAGCTAGATCGTGCTAGGGAACGTTAATATACAGATTGCAGACAGGGAGGTTTTAAACAGTACAACTTTTAAACATTTCCTCATTTGTTATTGCTGTATTTAGATGTCATGCTGTCCTGGGACCAGATGAGTAAAGATGCCGTTTCCTTTTGCCACACAATTTTTAACAAAAATGCTCTATTGGAGGAAACCTGCTGTCAGCTTGGTATGTAGAGCTATAATTCACCACCAGCTAAACAAAACAGGAAATGGTCTTGTATTGCCTGATCTAAAAAGTCTTGTGGCTACTTCTAAATACCTCCGAGCACCTTTCTTCTACAGTTTCTTTGCAGGTGGCCAGACACTGGAAAACGTAACCAAAATTTGTAAAGCTAGTGTCTTGTTGCTGCCCTGCTATTCGTGCCAGCTTATCCATTGTCCGGCATGTAACTGATGGTAACCATGGTCCTGGATGTTACTCAGAAAGAGGGGTTATGGTAGGTGTGCCCCCATTTATGTACAGACTATGATTTTGAAACTATTAAACATTAAGGAGCAGCGTCCATTGTAGGTGATTTCATCAGCATTTGAAATAGCTTAAAAAACCTTTTGACTTTAATATCACTTTGTTAATACAGAAATTTCCTGTGTCCCTTAACAGTAAGAGAAATACAGATCTGTAACTCCTTCCTCTACATCAGGAAATAGAGAGGGCCTCCATGCTGAAGGACTGCAGAGATCAGATCAGTCAGCCAGATATACAATCGATTATTAACTGGAAAAAGGACAGTCACTATGCAGCACTACATAGCCAGCCGGAAGCCAAGTACTGATTTATTGTGACGTGCTCGATATAAGCGCCACCTTATTTTTTTATGTATATATTAGATTACATATGCATCACAAGAAAAACATTTATAGGACTATACGATCCCCTTCAGACACTATGATAAAGGACAAAGCCAGCCGCTTTCCACACTGACCTTTAGCTTTCTCCACAGGGGTGATGTCTTCTACGACAATGTGCGGCTTTTTGTTGGGGGGCTCTGGAGAATCGGGGGAGTCCTTTATAATCTCAGCCTCTGCCAGGTCCTCCTTTTCCCGATCTATGGATGACTTCATCCTAAAAAAACAAACAAACACATTCCGTTTACTTCAGAAGTACAGTATACCTGGAATCCTCGATACAGGAAACTGTCCATCCACCCAGCACTAAGTATTGGGTAGACGCTGGTCAGATGCACCATCCACAGGTTTCTCAGGGCTCTCTGCACCACCAACTGCAACATCATCCCACTGATCCAATTCCATCACAAGAAGAAAAAAACCGGCTGTGGATTGGGGGAATGGTTGCTGTGAGGTAAAGGGGAGATGTTAAAGGTTTGTCAACTTTTAAAGCAACCATGTCATTCACCTAAAAATTATAACTGGCAGTTCCCTGCAATAGAATAGCCATTATACTCACCACTTCAGTGTTCCCTCCATTCCAGCGCTGAAGCCTCCTTTAGACTATCCAGCATTTGAGACTTCTGGGAGTGTCAGATGTCTGTTTCCCCAGCAACACGCTGTGGCTCCATCGCCCAACCCCTACTTCAGTACAGGACAGGCTGCCTCCATATTTCTCCCAAAGTTCCTTTATTCTTTTGTGCTGTAGTTGTCCAGGGACAACACTGTTTCTGTGGCTCAAATCTCAGAAATTGTCTGTAAAAGGACATTTAAAGGCAAGAGGGAAATGTTTTTTTTGTAATGGCCGCTGCAAGTGGGTGGAGATGAGAACTTGGGTCGCCAAATCTAAAGTCCTTAAAAGATATAAGGCCCCGTTCACATTGAGCGATTTATTGCGCGGTAATTCCCGCGATATCGCGGCTATTTACCGCGCGATATCGCTCTTCAATGCATCTCAATGGGGCAAAGGGTCCTGCTGTCACGGGTCGTGTGTCGCTACAGCAGGACCCTTTTTGCAGCGGATTTTGCCGCGATTCTCGCTTGTTCAATGCAAGCATTTGCGCGATATCGCGCAAAATGCAAATCACGCGACAAACGCGCAATTTGCAAATTGCGCAGTGTGAATGGGGCCTAAGTCATCCGTGGATGATTCAAGCCTCCTACATACGCCACTGGTAAAATATCGGTTCTGGATGGGCAGACCCGTAAAGGGCAGCTATACATTTAAACAGCCTAAGCTTAACATCCCCCCTCTCCCCCCAGTCCTCCCTATATTATATACATTATAAGGTAATAAACTTAATATGGGGAGGGCAAAGGTTTTTAACAATACAGCTATATATTTCAAATAGGAGTATGCTAAGTGATAGGCAAAGCATCTTAAAGTGATTGGTGAGGAAGGTTTTTCAGTGTTCACCCTGCAAATAAACCTTGTTGTTAAACTTCATTACTCTTAAAAACAGGTATTGTAAACCAGGCCTCATTTTGTTACTGGATATGTGATTTTATATTGCAGAGACCACCATGACATCAACTGAAAATCACTCACAGGTTTAAAACAAAAAACAGCGCAGCTTAATTTTCACAAATTAGAACACTGTCACCTCCTGGTCAGAACTAATTTCAGATCAACACTAGAGCCTATACAGTATACTAGAGTCATACATGGGGGAATGGATTTGGGGGGGGGGCGGGGCCTTTACATTTCAACCAATAAACAAAAAATAAATATATTGCAACTTACCAGTCTTTTTAGATGTGGAGGCTGCATTGGTTTCAGACTCAGTAACACACTTCCTGTCCTGGGGTGACAATGCTCATTCACAATACTGGATCCATCGAGGAAGAGCATGCCACCCTAGCACAGGTATACAAAATACCTTTCCCTCACTTCATCTCCATGGCATGGGGGAAGGAGGTTTTGTCCTCAGAGATGGCTGAGAGCAATGTAACTGATAAGAGGGCAGCATGGCAGAAAGTTATCAGCTCACACCCAACAATAAAAATCCAATAGAGGTTCTAACCCTTTGCTACTTGATCCAAAAAGAAAATGTTTTGCCAGGAGTTGGCATTGAACACATTCTTGCATTGGATTTGCCGAGTCTTTCCAAATTGCATGTTGTCATGTGTGACTTTGTAACGTACCTCTCAGATTCTGTCCACTTCTTATCGTGTTCAATGTCCTTCCCAACAGGCTTGTCCTCTTTGTCCTCTCTCTTTCTTCCTCTCTTTTTCCTTTCCTCCTCCTCTGGCGGCTTACTACGGCAGGCTTGCAGGCACTCCATCACCCTCTGGTGCTTTTCAGAGCTGTTAACGTGAGCTCGCACCAGTGTCTCCAGCTCGTTCCACATAATGCGGTACTGCTCGTCCCTGCCAGAACAGAAGCACAGATTATTACCAAAATGAGCAATTCATAGGAATATTAGAAACTTTCAAATCTCTATGAAAATATCTGAAAAGATGGGGGTGGCTTCCTGGTCTTTAACAGAAGTGTGTTTTAAAATTTCAGAGCGGAACTAAATTTCTCAACTCAGTTACATTCCAGGCACGCTTCTGGTGACAACTCTCCCTTTACCGCTTTTTCCTAAGGTGGCCATACACTGCAAATTTTATCCGGTTTGAAATTTGCACAGTGGGTGCCGCTATCAGCACCCTTTCAGCCGCCATCCCTCGATCAGCTGATCGAAGGAGTCAGTCAAGGTAAGTATGTGCAGCTAGAGAGGGCCAAGTTAAAGTGAACCTGTTGTTTTACCCTGTGTCAGCAAAGTATGCTATATCAGTATTATAGATAAATTAATAATTTCTTATTTCATTTGGGAGTTTAACAAACCCTCCTCTGTACCTCTTTGGTCCTTTCCCCCGTGTGCCTGCTGTAGAAATGGGCAAGGCGTCATTCTTCCTCTCCATATCCACCAGATTGTATATGGTTTTCTGGCAGTTCAGGACATCTTCTTCCGTCAGAGTCTCCTTCACGATAACGCTGGCCAGAGGAACGACCTGCCAAGGACACGAGACACGCTCAGGATGCATCATAAACCATATCTCAGGACTGGGCAAACTCCAGCCCTCCAGCTGTGGTGAGACGACAAATCCCATCATGGATCTGTCTCTGGGAGTCATGACTGTGGCTGTAAGAATCTTGAAATGCCTCATGGGATTTGTAGTTCCACAACAGCTGGAGGGCCGGAGTTTTCCCACCCCTTCCATATCTGCATACAGCTGTAGGAGGATACACTTACCGCCTGCATGTTAAAAATGGTGGTCTGTGAGATAATCATTGGCCAGTACCGCGTGTGTCGCTCTAGCTGGAACTTCGCTCGGTCCAGGGGAACTTCCGGCGTTCCGTCTATCCTGTACCGCTGGTCCAGAAAGGGCATGAGTCTGTTCTCCCTCATGAACTCCCCAAAATCCTGTGCAGTGAAAGGCAACATGAAGGCTCTAATAGCATGTGACCGCAGTAAAACGCAGCTAGTGTGCCAAAATGTAACCATCAAAATTTACTTAAAGTGTAGTTCTAGGGGACATCTCTGCAGTACATGCACACTTCAAAAAACTTAATCTCCTAAAAAACACTGGAAGTAAAGAAAAATATCTACTGGTCTGCCAGAAATACACTCTTCTCCCAACTTCCTGTAGTGAGCCGACAATGCTGCCTCTGCTGCACTAAAATCCCAAGCTGTTATCAGTTATGCCCTGGTTTCTCTGTTGGACTACAGAACACCTCCCCCTCTTATCCCCATAACACTAAGGGGGTATTATATACAACATTTTATATCTACCCGAAATGTTTGCTGCAGGAAAGAAACTATGCTGTATATTCCATTTCAGCCTTGTGACTCACCGTAATCCTATAATCGGTGACTCTTCCTCCACAGCCCTCGCTGATTGATGGAGGATCCTCCAGGATGGACCGGGAGCTGCTCAGGACGTGCAGGAAAATTTCCCCGCCGTGGCTGCTCAGCATGTGACTGATCACTTTGGATCCGGACTTACGTGGCTGCTCCAGCAGCACCGAGCGGCCTGAGGAAGAATAAGATTGATCGGCTCAGTGATCAGAAATGAAAAGGAACAACTGCAGCTGCTGAGACAGAAGAAGGTACTTAGATGGGTTCCAGGAGAGAGCTCCCAGTGGGTGTGGCCAGTGTTATAATGTTTACCAGGATTCCAAATAGAATGAAGGAGGTGGGGCAGTGACACCATTTGTACAGAACTGCAACATCTGATAAGTGTAGTCACTTGTTATAATTTACAGTTATGGAGCAGAGGGTGATCACCAGTGGATGTGCGTTGATTTACAGTGTTTCTAGCTATGCTTTAATGGAGTGTTTAGTGGTTTGTCTGGAGTTAAAGTATACATAAAAGCCTATTGGATGAAGTCGCGAAGGGTTAGAACTAGGGATGCACCGATATATCAGCCGAAAATTGCACTTTTGGCATAATGCCGAAAGTGCAATTTTCCTGCCGATACATCAGCACATCCGTGATTTCTTTCCTCCCCGCTGGGCGCTGCTCTGTGTCCCAGCGGGGAGGAGAGAAAGTGACAGCCGCCCGAGCGCTGTGAGCGGCCGGCGTCTCTCCTCCCACACCGCTCAGCCGCATATCACAGTCCGGCAGATCGGTGTGGGGGCGAAGACAGCCCACGCTGTCACAGGAGGCTGAGCTCTACTCCCTGCTCCGCTCGCTCAGCCACCTGTGACAGCGTGTCAGAGAGGAGAGCGAGAGCAAACACTCAGCGATCAGTGATCGCTGAGTGTTTGTAAATAATTGAGGACAGAGTATGGTTACTATATCCTCAATTATGAATGAATGGGAAGTGATCTACATCACCTCCTGTTCATTCATAGCTGTAGTTATAGTAAACATACTCTGGCCTCATGTTATGAATGAACAGGAACACTCAGAGGATTCCTGTTCATTGATAACACGGGACACAGAAAAAGAGATTGAGGACTTTGTGTCCTCAATCTCTTTTTCTATTTTAAAAGGGAATTATCTGTAGTCGGCTTAGACCCCTAATATTTCCCCAAAGCCCCTAAAAGTAATGTAAAAAATAAAATTATTTCATAAAAAATTAATAAAAATAAATATAAAAAATGTAAATGTTTA